ACATCAGGCCAAATCCGAAATTCAAGGATGAAATACAGAAAAAGCTACAGTATTAGATCTTCTGAAATAGCTTTTAAGTTATCAAAAGAAGAGAAACAACTCATGAGAAAATTCTCTTAGCCTTTACCTCCCCTTTTTGGAGCTAACTGGAATGTGTTTGCGGATCGCAGACACGTGCTACTCACCTTTATAGCTTTCTGTGCATTTGGTAGCCCTTCCTCAATGTCTTCTAAAAGGATTCCTCCCAGACCTCGCTGGTCATGCTTGTCCAAGAGCCTGAGCAGAGCCTTTTTATCTTTCAAGTTGTACTTGGGTTTGAAAGCATACTTCCCATCTACAACTTCTATTTTCGGATTGTTGACTAGAGCCTGTAATTGGGACATAAATTTTAAACCTTGAAAAAGAGCACACGCTAGTACTTTTTTTTCTTAGTGTGCTTTTGAGCAGCGAGAGCACATCAGCCACACGTTACAGCTGCCAGTTTGAAGGTTTGAGTTTTAAATGGATTTCAAATCCTTGGATCCTAGATCCACCAGCCTAGGCATAATTCACCACAACATAAAGCACAAAGCACCAAAGGAGGCTTAACATCATTCACTTAATGCCTTTGGGCTGGAAGGTCCACGAAGCCTCTTACGGCAGAAAGCTGCACGCGTTCCTTTTTGAGAAAGGAGTAAACATAAAAAGAAGAGGCAAAAAAGTGTGTTTTGGCTGAATACAAAGTGCAAATGCACAACTGGGCATATCAAGCTTGGGCCATATGGATGTTACGGATGTGAAAGGCATTAACCTGGGATGAACAAAACAGGGGTCAGTCTTCCACAACTGCTGTCAATTGGCACCAGCAGCTGTAGAAGAAATTGAGAAGAGCAGACCTCCTGCACAGTAGGCTTTTACACATGATGTCAGCTTCAGAGTGAAGCTGACCAGAAGTTCATGGAGAATTGAAATGATTTAAGATATGCTCCAAATCAGTTTTGCTGTGCAGCCAGTACTGCAATGGAAGTTCACCTGTAACAGAGGGCAACTCTACTTAGTTTCTTCTGCAGATGCCAGCCTGACCCTGAAAGGAGAAAGAGAAGAAACACAGAAAGAAGAAAGGAGGGAGAAAACAACTAACATTGGTGCTGCAGGGTATTTGTTCACCCTTTCTCATCCAGTGATAATTTTATATACACTTCTTGGAAGGACCTGTTTCATTCTATCTTGATGTTCTGGTTCACCACAACCAACACTGCCAGACTGGAGGTTTCTGTCCCCCAGAACATTAGTACTGGTGGTAACGGAATGCCACAGGCTGTATTAGTTAAAACCATCCTAGTTTTACCATGCAGAGATTTTTTTCCCCATGTCTCAACAGCCTTTACTACTCTATTGCAAGGATTTAAAATATTATCCGAGCAAAACCAGGTATGCCCATCAAGTACAAATACTGAATACGGTATTTTGCTGATTTACTAATCTTGAAATTCCATGAAGACATTCAGATCAATTAAGCATGAAGATGAACACGGTGGCAAGTTACAGTGAGTCTGTAAGAATGAAACCTAGCATCTAGAGTGAGACTAACGAGCTCCAGCAGTGGAATTTGCAGATCTATTGCCCCACAATTTCAGAGATAAATTTCCCATCAGAATTCTTAATTTCAGTAAGTAACAAAGAACTGTAAGCCTATGAATTTTGTGCCATACTCCTTTAGTTTAGTTAATTTAACATCCTCAATATTGGAAAAGCTCTCTTCTTGGATTTTTTAAAAAAAGAAATTGCTTAACAAAACCAGTAATGAATAAATTTCCTTGACATAAAATATACTCTCTGACTAACAATTTTAACAGGTCCTTAAAAATGTCAGAATAGCTTTCATTTCACAGTTACCTCATTAGCAGGAGGTACAAGACAGACAGACAGACATGTGAATCAATGTAGTTTCTTAAAGGGGGGGAAGGGGGGGGAGGGGTTTAATAGTTATAGAGCTTGCAATTAAATAAACGTGTATAATTCAGGTTTATCATAATCCTTCATGTCTAATTAAAATCTAAACATATGTTTTCTTTACCTCGCTCATTAACCATTGTTTCTGTTTGAGTCCAATATCTAAATGCTGTGTTTCATCCAAAATCTCTTCTAGGGTTAATGGATGTGTATCACCACGCTGGTGCCGAGTCTGGAAAAGTAAATAGGATCTATTAGAGTTCTGTACTTATTTTATTCAGCAACTTTATTATTATAAAGTAACTAAAATTGGTATAATGTGATGACAAAATAACTTTTGCAAAACCAAGACACAGTACACATAACATATGAGCACTTCGATTTAAGGTTTTTGAGAATATGAGGAAAAAAACCAGTACTAGTTGAGATTGATGACAAAGTCATCTGTCAAGCACCAAATTACATGTTATTTTGATAAATAGCTCATGAATCCTAAAAGCTGACAGCATATTCCAGTTCCTATTTCTACCGCAAATGAAAACCATTATCCTGGTTTTAAAGTGACCTGGAATAATTAGGATTTCAGTAATGGAACAATATGCTGACCATTTTGTTTACTAACAGCATTTTGGATTTAAGAAGCAGTTTCTTGAAATTCTCACCCTCGCAGTAAAAGAATTTTAGAGTTTGAAATATTCAGCATCTTTCAACTACCACAGGAGAGTAAACAACTGAAGTATTTAAAAACATTATAATCTTGCATCAAAACACTGTACCTTCATATAATTGACTATTTTAGCAAGGACTCCAAACTTGTAGCCAGAGCCTCCTGAAAGGGCTTTCAAGTTAAATGATCCATTGCTGTGATCTACACAAGGAGAAAACAGACAATTAAATAATGCTTTCGACACCACCCGGTTGGCTCAGCACTCCATCTCTTTCTTGCTCTGCTTCCACAGGCCTTCAGAATTACAACTATGAACAGAAATTGGTGTTGCAGGAGCTGTCACCATTGGAGGACTCTGTGCTAGCACACACACTGATCCAGACCCACCGAATTACCTGTCAACACACATGGCTCTGGAACACTTCTGAACAGAGCTACATAAATACCAAATTACTAGTACATGGCCTTTAAGAAAACAGTGAGCAACTACAGCATTACTACCATAAAAGGATATGTTTAACTCTGTGGCATAACATATTATAATCATTTATGCTACATTAATTCATGTTGAAATAATGCACTGCACTTTTGCTTAATGATTAGCTCTACCAATAGCTTTGTGCTGTTGAGATAGGAGCAGAGAGTGTTTCACTTATTCCAAAAAGGTATTCAACAGTTACACACCAGGTAAAGGAAGGCTGTGCTTGCTGTGCTGGGCTTTCTTAAGTAGCTCTAGTGGAGAATTTATTTTAAAAAAAACACATAAATTTATACAATTCAACTTGGTGTGTTGCACCACTGGAACAACTCAGAATCCCCCCTGTTGGCAAGTCTACTTCCATCTTCATGTATCGTGAGGTTTGCTACTGTGTAAAGCTTATTTCAAAAATTCTTGCAAGGCTGTTAATTACTGTTAATTTTATACCACAGTGCATTAAACACAGATATCCACAAACCACTATCAAAAGCCACAGGCCCATTACCAGCATAACATTGCTCAAATTTAATGGCAACAGCTTTTCAGAATTTCAGCTACTCCAGAAAAAGAACATTTCCTCTTTGTCACCACAGGAATTTTTTAATCCACTGGTGATTTCTAACTGCATTTGACAAGGGAGTAGTTAACTCAGAGATATGGAGCCCCTATTATTTCTGTGGAAAAATCAGTCAAGGGAGAGAAAAAAACAATTAAAGTTAATGTATTAGGTGAGGGAGAGGTTGCAGTGGGTCCTAAGCAGAACTGTTAAGCAAAGTCCTTGCTCTGCTGGGCAGCTGGAGGGTGTGGATGACAGTGGTGGTAAAGAGGAGTGGAAGGGCTCAGGGGGTTGCAATGGTGAAAAAAGAAAGGAAAAAAGAAGAAAAAAAAAATCATCAGATTCTAGCAAATGCACCTAAGATGCCTGACAAAGACTCATCACTTTCACCAAGTAAGCGGCAGGCTTAGAGAAAACGTGTTTAAATTTCTTTAGCATGTTTAAAGTTCTTCACAGGAAACTCCAAATTAGATTTCCAAAGCCACTATGCTTCAGGTGAATTGTTTTCATGTCTGTCCCACTGCATCTCAACCTATTTCTAAGCTGATTTGTAAGTCACTATAAAAGGCAAAGCGGGAATTTTGAATGCAGTAGAATTTCAAACAAATCCACTTTTGATAATTATTGGGAAGACTTTATAGAAACTGATGCTATAGTATAATAAAAACTATAATGCTAAAGGCGCAGACGTCAGATCTAAAACTTGGCAACTGGTAATTGTGAAGCCATTACGTGACATTGTATTAGAGGCTTTACATAGCACAACAATTCTAAAATTAATGTAGAAGAATCAGTGTAACTGCAGCTACAGAAGACATTTTATTCTGGTTGCTAAATTAAGAAGGAAAAAAGGAGAAAAACAAAAGCCTCTGAAAATACAGCCTATAGAGATTTTCCCCTGCAGGGTCCCCTTTTATCATTAAAAATTAATGTCTATGCAAGACATTTTATAAATAAAAAATCACACACATAACAAGACGTCTAAAGTGACTAATATAAATCCAGAGGTACAACAAATAGTTAAGACGACTTATCATGTATTTGTTCTGTCAATTGAATCAAGAAGATTATCTTGTTTAATCTGCCTGGCTACAGCCTGCTGCAGTTCATGACAAGTAAATCTAACCACACGGCAAAGCTGGAAATCTGCAGATATTAACACTTCAAACGTCACGGTTCGACCGGCTGCTTTCCAGCACAACGCAAAGCTGGGTCACAGCCACCATAGCACCCCCCGTGCACCTCTCCGCTTACAAGCTCATCACACACAAAAAAGCATCCCAAAAATAAGAGTGGGAAGGAGATTGCTTCTTATCCAAGACACTAAGAGTGAAATTTATGAATGATTTACTCCTGGGGATGAGGGCTTGATGCAAATGAGCCTAAAGGAAGTTGTCAGCAGCATCATGCTCTGGCCAATGGTAGGAAAGCTCCATCTTAGCTGTGCCACAGGCTGCATTAAAAAAAGGGACCAGAACAGCGCTCTTTCAGCATCCTTTCAGACAAGAGGTAGGTGTACATCATTTTATAACATTGTCTTAGGTTTATCTTGATTACTGAAAGAAAATATGCCTGTAACCTACAAGCCTGTAAAAAGCTTCTTAGAATCAGAATGATTTTTCTCCAGGTTCAGCAGGATTTTATTCTGCTGAAGGCAGAGGAGCTTGTCTTGCACTATCAGACAAGCACTTTCACCATCTGTGCACTAATGGAAAATTGATGACCGCTCCATCTTACAGAAAAGCTAATATACCAAGCCAACATTCAGTAAACAAAATGGATTTCATGCTTACTGGGGAGGTAGCTTCTTTCCTGCAGCCTCATGTTCCTTGTAATTAATTCTATATGTTTTTACTGAAATGATAGTGAAAGGATTTTCCTTTAAACAAAGACAGCTAAACCTGAAATTTAAGAAATGTGTCTCCCAAGTGGGTATTCCATAAATTGTATCAATTAGGCTGCCTAAAAGAGATCTACATTTGTGGATATGCTAGAAACCTGCTCTAGAAATGTGGTGCATTAGGGTAGGAAGAAAATCCCGTTGCATATTATTACCCTTGTAAATACTGGAGCAGCGATGAAGACAATACCAACAGACAGGTTAGAATCCATCTGAGATTTGTAAATGCTATTAGCTCAAGATGTCTATTCAGTGGTTTCTTAAACAGGTCTTCCTCAGTACTGCACTGAAATGATTTTTTGCCAGTCATTTCCCTCTGCTCTATGAAAATGATTTCAAATACAGCTGCTCCTCTGCAGGTCTAAAGATGATGATACTTTTAAATCAGAACCTAATACAGACAGTACAGAAGCCAATTCATTAAATATTTAACTCATTGCGTTTTAGATACATACAATAGCTGAACTGCATTCAAATCGAACTAGCTTACAATATGAATTTAGATTGTGCCATTACAAAATAAGTAAAACTGTTTGAAACCAGGTCATTTTGGAGAGCTTTCAAAGACACTAGCCTTATTAGTGCCGTGTTAATTCTGAAGGCTCAGCAATGGTTGCTTCAGTCTTGTATTTTAATAATTACAGCACCTAGTAGCTGAGACTTATCTGCCTCGCCCAATTCAGATCTAAGGAGATCATCATCATCATCCTCGAGAATCACAAAACACCTCCAGCAGGGGCATTAAATTCCACCTCCCTGCGTAAAGATGAGCTTCCCTGTGCTGTAAAAACCGCTGCCCTAATGGTGGCTGGGGAGTGGGAAGGGGCCAGCTGCTGCACTGCGTTGACGGCAGCCGCCGGGCGGCAGGGACTCCTGCCTGGGGAGCCACGCTGTGCCCAAGAGCCTCCTCTCCTCTCGGGAACAGAGCTGCCACCTTGGCAGAGAGCTGTGTTGGCAAAGGGGCCCGGCTACGCAAGGTAAACATGCCCAGTCTCTCCAGCAGCCCCAAATCTTGATCACTTTTAGCAATGACTAGAATAGTAAGTTTTGCATCAGCAGAAACAGTTAATTTTTGTGCTTGGTGTCTACAGATTGAGGAAACTTACATGTAACAGATTCCAACAAAATCCTCAGTCTTAAAAATCTGTTTTAAAAGTTCAAAACAAAACTCCTCTCCTTTCTTTCCCAAGGATATTCTCTTGCCATTTAAAATCCACATTTAAATCCTGCTTGTTTTAATTACCCCTCAAAGGGGACTCCAAATCCTTTTATTCATCCCCCTCTCTCACCCACAGATTTTCAAGTAAGTCTTCACACCACTCCTTCAAAAACCCTCCTGACTTTTAGCTCCATAAAACAGGCCAGCCGAGTTTCCTTCCTAGACTGCGACCAAACCAAGCCATGCTCTCAAAGCCGGGACCCAACTCAACTTGGGAGTATTTTTAGCTTGGAATCGCTCTGTAAGCTTTTGTTTAAGAAAAAACCCCACCCAGTTTAATTAATTCTATCCAGCTCAGTCGTACTTTGTGTATTCAATTACAAATTTATGTATTCAGTTACAGATTTAATGGGGGGAACAGTAAGTTACTGCAACTGCTCCAATAAACATCTGTATCAAATGCTAATGCCGGGAATCTGCCCAACAACAAAGTTGTTCGGTTTCAGTTTAAATCCATTAAGAATGGATTTAAGAACAAAATAGATAATCATTGAACAATAAAAATAAGACATAAATCACAAGCTCGTTTGGCTGCATTATCCTGGTTTTCACAATATCCTATTTTTGAATAATGACACAAAAATAATGACAGGTATTTAGACTGCCTTAAGAAATCTGTTTTAGCAGACACCATCACACTTTGCCTTTGTCATTTGCCATTTATTCAGACATTTTGTAGTTTTCACTGCCTAAAGAGACTGATGGCAGAATTATTTCTGGGATATGCAAGGTTCATTAAAGCATTACCTCTGTGTATGTTTTTTTCAATGAACAAAACATCAGCGTTACCCCTTCATCCTGTAGTTTTGATTCCTTAATGAAATGAAACTAAATGTGGGTATCCAGGACTATTTTGTCATGAAATTAGCTAGGTTTTCACTTTTGGCTTTATGTTCAAAGCAAAAAAAACTTTCATTGAGGCACGGGAAATAAGACTTCAGGTTTCTACAAAGTTCCCAGCTTGTCTCTCTCTGCCCCTTCCATAATCCCATGTTTTCTGGGGCACCCCAGAATACAAAAGCACATTTTGCAAGCTGCCCCTTAGCCACAGGCTCACATGGGGGGCACAGGTTGGCCCATCACTGCTGCTTACCACTGTCTTTCACCTAAAACACCTTTGCTATTTCCTCAAGAGAATATGGAGATCTGATTCGATCTCGTTCTCCCACACCCAGTTTTAAATTGCCTGAAGGATTCAAATGGTATCCTTCAGTACGCTGCGAGAGGTAACCAGAAGTTACTATGGCTCCTTGGCCATTTTTTATTACATTAAACTATGTACCAAAAGGTTCCATAAGGTCCCTCAGTTTTGGGAGGCAAAACCAGGGAAAGAAGGAGATCAGGGAAAAAAAGAGACTCTTAACTGTAAAGATCTTTTTGCCAAACACCTCATCTGCCTACTTATCCGTAATTCACAGAGAAATTCCGAGACAGACAGAACTGCTCTTTCGTTCTGGATATACCACAGAAATTAGTGAGGCACAGCCCACTTTCACACTTTCGAGCAATGGCCTTTCCAAACCTGCACATCCCCACAGCAATACCATTCGCGCCAAAGGCAGATCTGCTGAAGCCAACTTCTTGTTTTCTCTCCTCCACGCTACAAAGCAGTCTTTTCTTCTGCTGGGTACAAACAGACAGTATTGGGCAAAAGATGACATTCCTTTCCTAGCAGTTAAGCAGCGAATGCAGTTGAAAACAAGAAATCAGAACTCCTCAGAAAGTATTGGGTTTTCCTTGTTATCTACCCTAATGACCACAGCACCACAACTGGGCCAAGCTCTCCAAAGGCGCTCAGTGCCGCTCGGGGCAGCTGAACATAGTGGCTGGAGCTCTTGAGAACAAACTTCTGTTCAACAGCGGAACAGCAGGGGAACGAATGGGTCAGGAAATCGGTCCCTCTGAGGTCAAAACAGCTTTGCAGGGTTAACAAGTCTGTGCTAATAGGCAATTCTAAAATAACAACTTTTAAGGAAGCAGGATTGCTATTTTGTCCTAGAAGAATGACCAAAAGTTTAGTTCCATTCTTTGGAAACATCCAAAAAAAGTTACAATTTATATATTTTTTTAAACAAGTAAACAAACTCTCACTACATTAACATGTAGCAAGTCCTTCCAATCACTCAATAGGAGAGGGTAGTACATGAATCTCCCGTTGTTCTAAGAAAGCCAAGAGCGCTGAGGGCTTTCACGCCTTGCAAGTATCAACCTCAAGACTAACGATAGACAGACTGTCGAAACCACTGTGTGCCCTGAGAATTGTCTTTTTGCCTTTGCATATATTTTAAATAAAGAAGCAAAGCTCTCTCATTCCACAATCACTTACACTACATGATGCATGCATGGACCAGTCGTCACCGAAATAAATGTTCCAGACAAATCACAAAGTTGCACATTTGGAGTTTGATACTTTTCTGAGCAAATATGAGTATGCAACAATCCATGTTCGTAGGAGGTGTGAGCACTTAGACTGAGCTTAAGTTCTTAACAGTTTGGGATAAAAATCACAGCATGTTCTTGATCAATAGAGTCCTCAATAGCTTTGTTTTTCTGTTTCAGCCCCCAAATCCGTGACAGCAAGCACACTAAGACAACTCTCCAAGAATGGCAACCCTCAACACCACTCACTGGAATGAGACTACATCCATTTCCCAGTATCTGGGCTTTCAAGTGCAAAAAATTTACCCTTTCCATGATAACTGGAACACTGCCTGCTTTATTATTCTGATCATATTCATTTTTACTGTAGTTTCTCTGGTGGTGTTGGCTTTCCTCTATGAACTGCTAGACTGTTGCTGCTGTGTGAAAAATAAAACTGTGAAAGACTTGGAGAATGAACCCAATCCTGTTAGAGCAATGCTGAACAGCTTCAGAAAGCATGAAACAGAGGTGGTGTAGGGAGGACTGAGCATCAGCACTTGAAGAATGTTTAACACTTTGAATGAAGCCTCTTGTACCTTACAAATGAGCAAGTCACATGCTTTTTTTTCTTCTTAAAAATAATAGCAACAATTATTGTTTTATTTCTGGATGTGAACTTGAATAATTGGCAAAAGCTTTCTGAGTGCTTAGCGGAAGGTTGATCTGTTGCAATGTTACAGGGGAAGAAAATATTTTTGTTTTTAAATGAACTTTTGTTGTTTACATTGAGTTACTAGCATAATTCTTTGTCTACCTGAAGAAACAAATGTTGCCTAACATGCATAAAACTATGTTGCTTAACTGGAGAAAACCTTTATAAAAACGTTTAACAATCTGATCGTACACAGTACAAAGACACAGCAGTGTCCTCCTGCCCAGGTCAACCACACAGAGACAGGAAAGACATACAAGGGGTGAGAAAAAAGCTATGAGATAGAAGGGTTGAATGGTAAGAGATTCCACAGACTGGAGAGGCCTATGTGAATTCTTGTCCTCAGCAGCTCTTCTTATGAGCTTGATTTTAGAAGAGCGGGTGGTGGAAGGAAAAGTAATCCAACGTGAAACATATCCCTATAATGGTCTTTTCTATCCTTTCTATCCTCCTGTGGTACAATGTGACCCTTTCTTCCTCCCCTTCTCCAATTGCAGAGAACTCCTCTCCCTTTACTTCATGTTCAACCTGTTTAACAACTTCTGGATGTCAAGACATGACTAAGGCACTACCTTAAGAATATCTGACTATTTCCACAACAGCATAGTGTAGTGGTGATATGGTTTAGAAGAAACAGGGCCATTTTTCTGCCCCAAGGTTGCTGCTTCTATGGTAAGCACAACACTACAGGAAATCAGACATGCTGGATATATCATTTCTATCTCAACTCTTCAAAGCTGAACTGGAACTGAATGACTTCATGCCAAGAAACACAAGCAGATGGGTTGCAGACCACCCACACCGACGACAATAATTTTGCCCAGCCCTCAAGGCAGCTCTCAGGTGTCAACACACTTCAGAAAGGAGGCCACACCAGGATAAGCCTTGCGCTAGAGCCGGCAGGATGGATGCACAGCAAGAAGTGCCTTCATTTTGCACAAAAGAATCTCAGCTTGCTTCATCAGCCTGCCAGTGCATCCCAGAGAGCTCATACGTAATATTCACACCTCTGGCTCTCCAGATGATTTTTTTTTCTGGAACTGCGTTGCATCTATAGTTTTTAAAACCATAAAAGTTTTGCAGTTACACATTACAAGTGTAATAGTGGCATCAAGCAGCGTGGCCATCAGCAGTGCCTGCTAAGTCTTTCACTCTCCTGAACTCATAGAGAAGCAGGCCAGCAAGAAACATCCCAAACCAAAGCTACATGTAGGACAAGACATTTAACAATATAAATCCCAAGTGATATTCCTGCCATTAGGGAAACAAACCCCACCTAATGGCCAAATGGACAAGTAAGCTACAACATTGATCTCGCTGTCTATCCATGTCAGAAATACCCTTGTGCTATGACAAGTACCTATAATTATTCTCCTTTTAAAAAAAATAATATATATATATAAACAGCCTCTATCAGGTTCAGTATGCCTAAGCTCTAGAAGATCTGGACACACTGAAAGACTTGCTAATTTAACTTGTGCTCTTCCTGGTTGGTGAGATGGAGCCAGGCCACTACTAACCAGCACAGACAGTCCAGTGATTCACCTGGAGGAGCAAGGTCCCTTCTGCAATCACAAAACCACACAACTGCAACCATTCATCTCGGATACACTTGTTACGGTGACATTTTGCCAGTACCAGTCCCACATGCAGAGAACACTTTTAGCTAAAAATCAAACCATAAGCACAATTAATGGAAGCCGATGTCCCAGGTACAAGACAATTTAGGATTCACCCCAAGACATACGATGAAGACAACGGTAGTGCTGTTAATGCCTTTTGCTGTCAGGGACACCGGGTAGACGCCTCATTACCTTCTTCTGCATTTGACTGTGTCAGCCCTGAAAGACCCGTGTCGTGCTCAAGAGAGGCAAGAGTAGCCATCGGGACACACTGAATTCTTTCCTGAAAGCAAACACTCTGAATGGCACTAGGGCTGCTTTCCACTTGCAGTGTTCCTACAAAACGCTCATCACCACCGCACACAAGAAGGCAGTGTGCAGGAAATAACACAGCTAGCCTCTGCTATGCTGACTTCATTATTCTTATGCCTTCCTGAGAAGCACAGGCAAGGAAAAATCTTGGGACTCCTTCCAGCTACTTATTTCACCAATCTATAAAGGCGGCTGGGTGTCTGCCCAAGGAACCGAAGACAAAGATCTCCCCTCGCCCAGCCCTAGAGTCTCAGGACGATTCTTTCCCACGTGTACACTAAGTAGTGAAACAGCCCCTGGAGACTTCAGCTCTTGATTACTGCTGGCTAAGATCACTAAAGGTCTTAAGATAAAGACTAAGATCTCAGTCACAACTGACTATTGATCAATAAAAAGAAATAAACAGATACAATCAATTTCCTTTATTTTCTAGTTACCATTCTGAATGAGTACACAAGGCAGTTCTGGATTTTTTCGCATAACTTGCTTGAATAATGATTTAAAAGAACTATAGTAATAACTATTCTTGCTGGAAAGCTTACAACAAATGTTCACATACAAGCCAGATTTAGCTATGTGACCATTTGAAGATTAGCATGATCTAAATGCCTCTGCTCGCCCCAAGAAGTGACAAGGGCAGCTTCTCTGAGTCATAGAATCACAGGACCTGTAGGTGCTACACACCCAGGGACTATCAATGCTAACACATAATCAGGGTGACATTATTAATCGTCTTTAAGGTCACTACATAACAAAACTAGGATTGATCATCTTAATTTTTGTTTCTTTCGGGGGGTGGGACAGGGGTTCTTCAACATCAGGTTTTTCCTCCACCTCCCCAAGACCTGTCTCTGACACACACATATCCTGACAGGCACCAAGCAATCTGGTGATTCAAATAAAAATCGGGTTTAGAGGCAAAGGACTTTGACTCTGCAGCACCACAGGGACCTGCGCTGCTTGTGGCTGCTTAACCTGTTCAGTCACTTGCCAGTCTGAACACTTGTTCTGAGCCAGTTCCTAAGAACAAGAGGGAGAGGGTCGGTTGGTCTGCTCACTCTCCATTATTTTCCTTCCATCTTTGCTGCAGTAGTTAGTAAATACTGTCCAGGGGAAGATGAAAGGAGGCTGAATTCATTCTGGACAAAAATGTTACAGAAACCCTAAAATCTTTCTGATGCTGTCCGGAATGAAGCCAGCAGTGTAAAAGATAAAGTGTATTTCCTCACAGCCACACATTCCTATTTGTGTAAGCTAATAATTTGACAAATGCAAAAACACTTAAAGAAATACCCAAACCACAAAATCACAGAAAAGAACTGACACACTATTTATCAGATCTGCTGCTTGGCCACATATCTACTCAGATCCTCCAGATCAGACTCACATTTGAACCGTCTGCCCTTTTTCTGCCTCCCCATCCCTCCTTCCCAGCAAACTGCTCTCACTCGGGATATGCAGTTTAGGATATTCCATGCAGAATTTTATTTTATTTAAAGAGGAATGTGTGGCAAAGGGACTGATGGAAACCTCGCCTCCCTTGATTTATTTTAAAATGCCTGGCTGATAACTTTATTTGGTGCCCTGAGAAGCTGAAGATACACACACAAAATCCCTACTCATCCCCCCAGACAAAAGATGTTCCACTCCTCCCATCGTCCTTGACGTTTTTCTCTGCTGTTTTTAGCTCTATTGTTTCTTTTGGAGTTTAGAAGAGAACCACACATGGTATTCAAAATATGAGCATGCAAGAAGTTTACACAACAGGATATTTTGTATTTTAATAACTCCTAACATTTGATTTGACCTTTAGAGTGCATCAGTGAACAGTCAGTACTTTCAGAGAACTGAAAAGTCCCCTCCCCAAGTTCTGCATCTGACACAATGAAAGCAAACACAGAGTACGTTGCTGTGTGCACACAAATCCTCTCCTGGCTGCTCCAGGTGCTGCACTTTTCATTTGCTCACACTGTTTCAGTGCTGCTTTATTAATTGCTTATTTGATATTGAGAGACGCATTATCAGCACCACCATCCCAGGGAAACAATAAAACTCCTGAAAAAAGCAGCCAGAAACCTACCAAAGCCTGGTGTTCATGAACAAGGTTTAACTCCCAAGTGAAACAAGAATGACTGCTAATCACCATACGCTAGCCAGACAAGATGTAAGTTGCAAAGTCTATGTCATGGATGGATAGCTGACAATTTACAGCTAATAAAACCAAGTTTTATGCACTTTCTTGCCAGGAAGACATAGGAAAGAAAAAGAACAAGACACTGTTACTACTTGTCCTGTGGGTCCAGCAAGCCCTGAAATCTACAAATCAAAGCTCAACTTCACATGAAATAGTATTTTGGCAGTAGTGATTCCTCCAACTTGAGTAACACCAAACAAGTCACAAGATGAGGCCTGACGTATACGTGACAGCAAAAGTATTTCTTCCCATTGCTCAAGTGAATTTCTTACCAAAACGTGACAATTTAAGAGAAAGAATGACAACAGCCACTAGCAAAATTCGCAGTTACACTGATTCATACTAACAAACCATAGTTTAGAGGCAGACAGTTGGAAAATACCAAACAGCTGTTGAACAGGAGACTGTCACCAACCTGTGTTTTGCTTTGAACTCGAGGAGCCACTTTGTTCTACCTTTGCTTTCTTCTTTTTTGAAGAGGAGGAGTCAGAAGATGGCGCTGGACGTTTTTCTACTGCTGGTGTGGAGAGGGCACGCTTTTTGAATAGCTCTCGCTCTCTCAATAAACTTGGATCCATAATTCTGTGAGGAGAAGCAGGAGGAAAAAGGCAAGAAATAGATATTTGAAAGCAGAAATAGCTGTTGATGAAGTTTTTTGTATCCTGCTCTTCCTGTACACGGCCACTGAGATGTCTGGGGATTTAGAGTGTCAGAACGCAACCTTAACCCCCAAGGCAGGACGGGAGGGCAGAGAATGCGATTTCTGAACCAGATTTCGCAGGTTCTGAACTCAAGATTCACACTGCTGCGGAGGGGGAGCCCGTTGGCTGCACGCCGAGACCACCCGCCCGCCTCAGGGGCGCCCTACCTCAACGGGGAACTTTAAAGTCACCGACAGGAGGTGGGGACACTTCGGCAGCGAGGCCCGGGAGCGACCCCGCCGCACACTTAACCGGCCCCGGCGGCGGGGAGGCGGCCTCTCCGCCCCTCCCAAGGCCGGACCGCTCCCTCCCCGGCACCAGTCCCACACCGGGGGGTAACTGAGGCATAACCGCCGGCCCCCATGTTGCCCCGCCGCCCCTCACGGCCCCGGCCCCCCGCCCCGCGCGCGCTCCCTCACCCGCGAGGCGCAGGCCTACCACCGCCGCCTATTGGGCCATGCCGCCTTCCCGGCAGCCCCCGCGCCGCCTGCCGCCGTCACACTCCGCCCCGGAAGTGGGCCGGCCGTTGCCATGACGACGCGGCGGTCAGCACTCCAGGCCGCAGGCTGCACACAGAGACGGGGCCACTTGATTATTTATTTATTAACAGTAACAGGTTTCACATAGTGAAAAGCATAAACGTACTGCCAGAGCAGCCCCTCTCCCCTCAATACAAGGAGGGTATGAGAAGAGTAAACGACACCAGGGAAGTAGTACTTTGTATAAAGAGCATTTTATGTACAAAGTAAAAAAAAAAGCCAACTCTTTTCTTTTCTATGTTTAGCTAAAAATCCCTTTTCCGGCCTCCGGCTTGGATTTCTTCATCTGGGTGGGAGGTGCAACTGGCACAGCTGAGGTTCCAAACCATTCAGGCACCTTCCTCTTACAAGGTGGATGTGAGCTCTGGAAGAAAATAAACATCTGTAAAAAGGCAAGTATTCACAGTCTGACCCCACCCCCCAAAAATCATGGGCATCAGGAGACAGGAACTATCTCCATTACAAATAGAAGGCTCAAATCTCTCAAGTGCAACCCCTTCAAGTAGCATCTAGAAAAATAAATTTAAAGAATCAAGTAAATAAAAAAGGTGGTGGGTGGTGTGGTTTTTTGTTTGTTTTTTTTTTTTTTTTGTGGTTGGACTCTATGATCTCTGAGGTCCCTTCCAACCACCACAATTCTGTGATTCTGTGATTCTGCTCATCCTTCATGACACCAGCTTTCAAATAACGGAAAACCATCATCCTTAATGACACCAGCTTTCAAATAACGGAAAACCAATCTCAAGATGAACATGGATCTGTTGGGGCAGGTCCAGAGGAGGCCACAAACATGATCAAACCTCTCTGTGAGGACAGGCTGAGAGAGGTGGGCTTGTTGAGCCTGGAGAACGCTTCAGGGAGACAGGGGAGGATGGGGAGGAACCCTTTATCAGGGAGTGGAGCAATAGGACAAGGGGAAACTTGTCCTGTCTTAAAAACTTAAAGAGGGGTGATTTAGGTTAGACACCAGGAAGAAATTTTTGACTGTGAGGGTGGTGAGGCATAGGAACAGGTTGCCCAGAGAAGCTGTGGCTGCCCCATCCCTGGAGCTGTTCAAGGTCATGCTGGATGGGACTTTGAGCCACCTGGTCTAGTTGGAGGTGTCCCTGCCCATGGCAGGGGGGGTTGGACTACATTATTCTATGATTCTATGAACACAACTGCTTGGGAAACACATCAGGAGGACCTATCTACAACCAGGAAGAGAGGTTGCTCCAGCACCTGCACCAAGAGCTGTGTGCACACCACCAGGACTCCCAGCCCAAGCTTGGATGAAGCAGGAAGAGTGCAGAGACCATTACAGTGATTGCACATTGTTCCTGTGTCACAACAAATCAGCTTTACTTGGAACTGATGTTCTGGAAGTCCTCTGAACCTATCACCAGCAATCAAAAAGATGTTATAATGTGTTTAGCGATTCAAAAAAGATAGCTGCTGCCCTATTTAGGAGCTATACTTACCTAACCCTGACCAAACCATAAGTAATGATTTGTCTGCATCATGTTTTGTTTATCTAGCTGCAAACTGAAGGGAGCTGTAGAGCAAGTAGTGCTTGTTCAGAGCCACATGGGTTCCCTTCAGAAAAAATACACTTATGTATGCTCACACAACTTGTGTGTATATAAACACCAGTGCAAAAATCCTTCATGATATCAGCAGATAATATCACACAACCCTATACCTGAAAGGGGAAAGAGAGACAACTGTCCTTTTAAAGCACTGGAAGAATCTGCCACTAGATGGCTGACAAAATGTAGTGGGGAAAAAAGTTTCTGTAGCAGACTGACACTGCAAGAAAGGTATATTCAGGCATAGCAAAGGCCATAAAAGCAGCATGCTGTCACTATATCGAGGACACTAACGAGTGAAGCTGGCTGGCAACCCATGCCAAGGTTTTAAGCACAGTGAAAGACCCAGAGAGAAGCTGGGATTTTGGTTTGGTAA